CGAACGATCACTTTCCAGCAAATCTTCCAATTCTCAAGAAAGATAATTATGAGAATTGGTGCAAGCAGATTAAGGCGGTTTTTTGTTACCAAGATCTTTGGGATCTTGTGAAGGAGGAATTATCACCGCTTGCAGAAACTGCGACAGATCAAGAGAAATCAACATATAAAGAATTGAAGAAGAAAGATTATAAAACTCTCTTTATAATTCATCAATATATTGATCCAGATAACTTTGAAAAAGTTAGTGATGTAGAATCAGCAAAAGAAGCTTGGGAGAATCTTGAAAAATCGTTTTGAGGTGCAGAGAAGGTGAAAGAGGTGAGGTTACAAACTCACAAGAGAACCTATGAATCGCTTCAGATGGAAGAAAGTGAAAGTATAGCAGATTTCTTCACTATAGTTACAAAATCGGTGAATTAAATCAAGGTATAAGGAGAAGTGTTGACATAAAGATCAGTTGTTGCAAAAATCTTGAGGTCATTGGCTCCAAAATTCGACCACGTGGTAGTAGACATAGAAGAGTCGAAAGACTTGTCAATATTTATGAAGGAAGAGCTTCAAGGGATGCTTGAGTCTCATGTGTAAGAACAAGATTTGGTTTAACATCTAACCTTTGAGTTTTGATGATAACTGCACATGTTGTCTAAGTGAATAATTCTGTATGATATGATTTCTATCTAGTGTGTGACTATTGTCAATGTGGTTCTGACTCTGATAAGAAGACATGTGACGTCATCAGACTCTGTTATCAACACTCTGGAAGAAAAGATATGTGTATACAAGATAAAATCAAGATTCATGAATGTTTTTAATACAACGATTCTAATGAACGTTAATTATGGACGTTCTAATTGAGACTTTATTAGAAAGGCCTATAAGACTTTCTAATGTGATGCGCTTCTAATGTTACAAGTTCTGAAGATTCTGAAGACGTGATTCAGGTGAACATGGTTATGAAGATTCTGAAGACACAATATCTGAAGACAAGAATGTACTTAATGAATTCTGAAGACTCTGAAGAAAAAGTTCTGAAGGAACAGGTTCTGAAGATTACATAAAGAATGACTCTTCTGCAACACGCTTCATCAAGTTAATATCTAAAGCCTCTGAAGATGCTAGAAGAATAAAGATAAGAATTTTTTTGAGCCGAACACAAGAAAACAAAAACTTTGACCTCTACCTCAATAAGGTGGCGCAAGAACAACTTTTTGTATAGTGATGTTGACCATTCCTTATGTGAAAGTTGGGATATTGCCGGTGGAGTATGTTTCCAAGAATGCCCCTCAATGAATCTATTCTCTCAAGCTCTATAAATTGAAGATCAAGAAGTTTGAAGAATTGCTGATTGTATTGTAGATTGTTGTTGATAGCATGCTGCTATACAAAGCCAAAGTGCTGAAGAAAATGCTATAAGCTGAAGCTTAAATGAAGAATGCCCAATGAAGAAGAAGCTGAAGAAAACTGTTTGGATGTGTGTACAACGATGCAACATGCTAAACCATGTATAACTAGTCAAGTGAAACATCAATAAGTGAAACATAATAACTTAGTTGATCTTGATGGTTAAGCTGAAAGAAGCATTACCTGCTCAAAAAAGAAGTTTATCAAATGAAGCTTAAAGCTCATGAAAAGAAGTTGTAGTGCTCAAATAAGAAAGCTTTTAAGCAATGCAAAATTGGAGCTGATACGATGCAAGTCTCAAGAAGACCAAACAAAATATTAGTTTTGTATTAGAAAGAAAGGAGTTGTTGCTCAGAAACTTGCTAGAAACACTTAGGTGTTCTTGTACTTCATTTGTGCAATTAAGCTTGTAAGAAGCATTAAGTGTACACATGTAAAATCCTTTTTCTAAAGGTGGCGTAAATCTTTGTTGAAGGTAGCTTGAGAAATCCTTTTCCAAAAGGTGTTTGTATTCCTTGGGGGACTCGTGGTAGTTAGAATTCTCAAGAAGACAATGGAGAGTATTCATTGTGGGTTGATGATTTCCTTGAGCGGCTATGTGAAATCCAGGATGCTTGAGAGGGCTAAGCGTGTTGTTAAACATCTTACAGGTTGTAATCATTTTGGTGATCATTGGATTAAGGCAAAATCACTTTGATGGATGGACTTGAGTAGCTTCATTAACAGTGAAGACTCATGGAGCAATTACCATGAAGATTGACAACATGTCATCTATCAACTAGGTGAAGAATCCAATAGCACATGGTCGAAGCAACCACATCAAAATGAGGTTTCATTATCTTCGTGAGCAGGTAGCAGAAGGAAAGATGAACTTGGGACACTACAAATTTGAGAATCAGATTACAGACATCATGAAGAAAGGAGTGTCAGTCCAAGTGTTCAAGAAGCTAAGGTCTATGATGAATGTAGATAGTTTAGACACAATGAATTAGGTGGTGTGTTAAATATGTAATTCATTGTTTTAGAAAGATTTGATTTGATTTAGAAAGATTATGTTAGATTTTTTTAGGCTTTTATAGTTTGAGCTTTAGCTTGAGATGCAAGTTAACCTAAATCTATAAATAGGGAGAAATTCTTTTCATTGTAATAATCAAGTTTGATAATCACGGTTTTGCAGTTGCAAAGTGATAATAAAATTTCACAGTTGTGGGCAGAGAGTTACTATGCAGTTCATACTCGTCTTCTTTAAACTTGTTCTTGTTTTTCTTCATTGTCATTACATAACAATCTTGAGATCAAGATTGAGAAGAATTCACCATAGATCGTGGTTGAATTCCAACAAGAGATAGGTGTAAAACAATATTACACATAATTAATCAAAATTCTTATATTTATCATATTATATCAGTATTTTAAAAATAAAAATGTGATTTAACATAATATATACTCTTCATTGATTAACAATTTAAAAATATTTTACACTATCAATATATATTCATTTAAAAAAAATATTTATATTATAGTATACGATATAAATTATTTTTATTTTATTTTAGTTAAATAGAAAACAAACATTCGTTTAGTAATATAATTGAGATAAACTTTATTAACAATAAAAATAATTAATGATAACCTTATTTATATATTGGATATATAATCCTTGATTTTTGTTCGCGCAACTTAATGTTGAGTTGTGATCGAAGAACGGTAAGAAAAAAAATGTGAAATAACTAAATGCATTTTTTGACTTACCCTAAGCTAAAGGACTCACCTCTTTATAAGTATTCGTCTTCAGCTAAGGAACTCGTCCCTTAATAAATAGTCGTTTTCAGTTGAGGTATTCGTCCCAAACTAAGGGACTCGCCCCTTTAATAAATAGTCACCATCAGTTAAGGGACACACCAAAGAGCGAATAGCTTACCTCACAAATAAGAAAGGACTTAAAAACACTTTTTCGTTAACAAAGCCCTCGTGCTTGAAAAACTATTTAGTGTTATATTTGTGAGTGTCCTTAACAAGGGCGCTTTCGCCTAAAAGTGATGCCTCCTAGGTGATATCCTCAGGGTTCGTCCTTGGCATTGATGACACGTGTAATACCGTTAATCAAAGTAGAGTGAGGTCACCATTATCCCTTGAAAGCAGACAACAACTTTTCCTGATCACAAAGGAGCGGTTGCCCCCTAAAGGGTTACCTAAACCCTAAGGCCAAAAAGAGATTTATAAATACATCTCCCCAATGAGAGAAAAGACAAATCATACCTCATACACGCTTATACCTAAGCACATCACTAAATACAAGGAATCTCACCTCACGCGAGAAAGACCTCTAAACCACCGTCAAATACCACCATACAAGGTTTCTCGCTATCATGAGAAAACCCTAACCATCATACTTCGTAATATACCTACTAATACCTCTGAGTGTCTCTACCTGTTGTGGCAACACGCACACCTGTACTTTTTGACAGATAAACTAATATGGCACTACAAATTTTTAGGTGATTAAGGATGTGTTTAGCTCTTCCTATAGATCTTAAGCTTTTTTCGAGTTTTTCCTTTCTTTAGGTTGTAAGGCTAAGTTTATTATAATTTGGCATGTCGTGGTGTGGACTCTATGGTCGGTTTGTAATGATAAACTTCTCTTTGGAAGAAGTGAAAGCTAAATGTATTTTTTTAGCTTAAAATTGATTTTTTTAATAGATCCCTTATGAACTCTGCCTCCTTCACCATTTGCCTTCAAAATCATATCATAGTGCGAGTGGTTTCTTTTGGCATTTTACTTGTATTTTTGGTCGGTGTTTGATGACTTTGAGATATGAGAGCTAACTTAACCTATGTTGGGTGGTGATTATTGTGCAAGTATTTATCCATCTTTTTATTTTTACTTCTCTTTCTATTACGTGTATTAGGTGGTTGATGGTTTCCTTTTTTTTCTTTGTTGTTTTTCATTAGGTTGTTGTTTGTTGGTTTGTCGCCCTTTGTGTCGGTTGATTCTTTTTGTATTTTGTTGGATTTTTTTTTCCTTATTTTTTATAGTATTTTACAATTTAGAAAAATATATGAATGACTAAATAAAAATTTATGTTGTCTTTTATATGTTTACGTAAACTTAATGAATATTTTATTAAAAAAATCAAATCAATTCAAACTACGTTGATTTGATTCGATTTTATTTTAAAAATTAAACTAACCTAAACCGAATTACATATGTTTTTTCTTTTGCGATTTAGATAGTTTTTAGCGGTCAAAATATATTCAAACATATCACAAACACCCCTAATACACTATGCATTGATATCATATAATTAAGTTTTGTGACAAGATTTCATACAATTAATTTATTATTAATAACATTCGATTTATTTACATTTACTTTTACACTCATTATAAGTATTTCAAACATGCTACCATATATAAAACATCAAGCAAACATCTCCCTAACAATATTCCTTCATCAAAATCTCACTTAAGCTATATAAACTAATTATAAACTTTAACCATATCAAATAGCAAGTAGAAAAAAAAAAGTAAGAACTCAGAGAGGCAAAATAGAACATTTTCAAAAAACTAAGATAAAAAACACGCAAACAAAAAAAATCAGCAAAAAGCGATTCTGTTACGGTGAACAGTTTCTAGTACTTCCACTACATCTCTTGCGCATGGCCTCGTGGTGGGATCACCTGCGGTACAGTGCAGTGCAAGACTCATAGTTTCAACAATATCGTTTTGAAATGTCGATGCATCTCCACCCTTCATCATAACTGGATCTATCCACGTGTCAAGACGACAGTCAGTGTAGCAATAATGGGCCCACTCAACAATATTGTTCTTTTGATCAACTGCTTCTATGTCGTTCACAGACGTTCTTCCCGTTAATAACTCAATCAACATAACTCCAAAATCATATATCTCACTCTTCTCATTCACTTCTTTTCTCAGCCTTTCCTCTGAAAACAAAAAATTCACAACATTATATCAATGATACAATTAAAAAATACTCATATCAAACACAACACGAACGCTAATATTAATACGTGGACATCAATAATAATTTTTTTTAAAATAAATATAATTATAAATATCAATAACATGTCAGTGTCAGCTATCTTATATAACGTACCTGGAGTAATGAAAGATGATGAAACGAAACCTTTAACGCCGAAAAATGATGCTCCTATTCCGGGCGGATTGAGTTTAAGGCGAGGAACATCTTTTCCGTTAATGAAAACTATCTGAGTCAACGCCTCATTAACCAAACCAATCCACAAACATTCACAATGCAAGAACTTAATCGCTTTTGCAATACCCAAAGCGATTTTAATTCGCTTTTGCCAACTCAAATTATGTATGATTTCACTTAAACTCTTCCCATCTTCAAATTCATAAACCAAATACACTTTTTTACCGCACCTAAACATTCCAATAAGCTTAACTATATTTGAATGTTTAACCTTTCTCCCAAACGTAACCGTTTCGTCCCAGAAACTAACTGAAACAGAACTCGTGTCGCTTATTTCTTTCACCACGAATTGCATGTCACTGGATATACATTTCCCTTCGTACGAAACCCAGTTTCGTGCTTTCGAAATCACTTTTCCTTCTTTAACTGACGATAAAACATCTTCAACGTTAATCGATTTCGAAGCCTTGTGATCAAAGAAAATCACTTCCCACGAACCATCTTCATTTTCAACCACTCTTCGTACTTCAAAATTCTTCGCCCTTTTCCGCACGAAAATCACGAGACATCCAGCACCACTTAACGCAACCAAACCCGTTAGTACGAAACAAACTAAAACGAAAAACGTGGTTGAATTCATGTGATTATCACTTTTGCACGGTGGCAAACCGTTATAACTGTTACCGTCACCGTCTCGGTTACAGAGTTTGTTACCGGCGACGGAGCTCGCGTTGATTGCGAAGAAAGCTTCAGTGGAAGGTAAACTTCCGTGAAAAGTATTATACGATATGTTAACGTCAACAAGCGATTCAACGCTTCCTAAATTCTTCGGAATTTCGCCGGAAAATTGATTCTCCGATAAGTCTAGTAAACCGAGAACCGGCATCTCGGCGAGTTTCGCCGGAATCTCGCCGCTTAGTTGATTATGACTTAAATCTAAAGAAACAAGATTCCTGCATTTGAAGATTTCTTCAGGGATTTTTCCATAGAGGTTGTTATTGTTGAGTTTCAATTGAACAAGCTCTGGTAATTTTCTGAAACCGATTTGAATGTTACCAGAAAGTTGATTCTGCGATAAATCCAATCCTTCGAGTTTGATACTGCCAAAAGAGTTTGGTAATTCTCCGGTGAAATTGTTGTTAGCCAAATTAAGCATTTGAAGTGATGGCATTCTCCACTTTCTATCATTGATTCTTCCAGAGAGTTTGTTTCCGGAAAGATCAAGCAAGTATATCTGAGGCAATTGAGTGATTTCCATTGGTAATTTCCCTGATAAATTGTTGTTTTGGAGTCTCACTCTTTGCAAGGTTTTACATGAGGTTAAACCCTTTGGGATTTCTCCATTGAGAGAGTTTGAAAAGAGGATAAGTTTGTGAAGATTTTCAGATGCACATAAACTGTTTGGGATTTTGCCTGTGAGGTTGTTTGAAGAGAGGTCGAGAATTGTGAGGTTGTTGTGCATTCCAAGTGTTTGTGGAATTTCACCGGTTAGTGTGTTTGACCAGAGTTGGAGAACTTGAAGGTGAGGTAAAGATGTTATTGTGTTTGGAATCTGACCTGTGAAGTTGTTTGAGAAAAGATGAAGAATCTCTAGTTTTTGAAGGTTAACAACAAGGTTTGAAATCTCTCCTGAAAGATAATTATCACTGAGATCAAGTGAAATAAGATTCTTCAATTTGAATATGGATTCAGGAATTGGGCCAGTGAGTTTGTTTAGGTAGAGAAAGAGATATCGAAGGTTGGTGAGGTTTCCAAGTGATTCAGGAATTGGTCCAGAGAGATTGTTGTAAACAAGATCAAGTTGATTCAAAGAAAGTAAGTTTCCAATGTTCTTCGGAATCTCACCGGAAAGATTGTTGTATCCCAAGTAAATCAGTTTCAATCTCTTCATTAGGCTTATCTCTGTTGGAATCTCACCAACTAATTGGTTCGAAGCCAAAGTTAAGTACTCTAAACTTGTCATGTTGGTGATGGAATTTGGAATTTTTCCAACCAAAACATTGCCACCTAGATCAAGATATGTTAAGCTTGAAAGTAGTCCAATTTGGTCTGGAATTATGCCTGAAAACATGTTGTTTGAGAGATCAAGAGTTTCGAGGTTGATAAACGGTGATGAAAATAAGGATTGAGGTAAAGGGCCAGTGAAGTTGTTATTACTGAGGTTGAGGTAAAGAAGTGAAGAGAGGAAGGGAGCGTTGAAGATGACTTCTCCAACAAGCTGATTGTTGGAGAGGTCGAGATTTGTAACGTGTGCAAGTTGGAACATGGACGAGGAAACCTCGCCGGAGATGTTTTTACCTGAGAGTGACACGGTGTTAACGTGCGACCAGTTGTCGCATGTTATTCCGTGCCACTTGCAAATAGTGTATGAGGAAGTATTGACCCAGCTGGAGAGAAAGTTATGAGGATCATAGTGGATGGATGACTTGAAGGATAAAAGTAGCTCGAACTCTTGTTGTTCTCCATGGGAGGAGTGGAAGTTTAGCATGAACATGAAAAGGCAAATAAACATGAGTAACTTTGAAAACATTGTTGGAGTTTCTTTGGCCATGTCTTCTTGAATTAGATTTGTATCTGCTTTGTATTTAACTCCTCGGACCCCAAGCTGTAAAAGGTGTACAAAATGATTAATGCAACTTTTTTTATAATTATCTTATTGATAAGAAAGAATACGCATATATAATAACAAGTATGGGGCAAGCCTCACTATATGAAAATGATGCAACTTTTGCAGGGGGATATGAGTGGTAAATTTGACTTATAGAGAGTATTAATTTCATATGAGTATGATTATTTTAAGGAACATGCATGCATGGTGATATTCATGAACTTAGATAATGGAAAAGGTATGATGAGTAGTACTATTACATACCTAAGAATCATAATTGGAGGATGGATCACTTAGTTTTCTGTGGTTGATGATGGTGTCTAGGTCAAAAATGAATTGAGCATAATGAAGAATTTTTACTTGGATTAGAAGCGAAGGAAGGGAGAGAAGGGTGAATGATTTGAAATACTATTTGAAGAGGATAGATTGAATGTGAGAGAGAAGTGTGTGTGCATGCTTAAATAGAAGAAAAGGGTAGAATTGGACATTGAGTTGGAACATAATTACCAAGTTGCACCTTTGACTTGTTTGAGAATTGTGTTTGAATACAAACGGTTGAAAGGAAAACAGGGACAGATGTTGGAAAAAAGCTCTGATTTTGTCGGATTGTTACCAAGATGTTGTTTTTTGACTGGCTCACTCCTTTAACAATTAGGAAAGTTACAAATAATTTCTGTAGCCGTTGAAAACAAACGCTCGAAAGTTTAAACTCTTTCTATTGTTATGTTTTCTTTCAATAAAATGTTTCACACACATACCAATCTATTTAGTTTCATATGCGTGATATTTTTAGGATGTTTAATTGTATTTATGTCTGTTGTTGGGCTAAAAAACAATATAATCAGGATTAGTTATGATGTTTAGCATTTTGTAAACCAATTTGGATGCAAATTGTTGTGTATTTGGTCGATTATTCATAATTTCTGTTTGGAAAAGACATAACCACATGCAAAGTAACAGGAATAATATTTGAACAGTATAAATATATATACACACTTGAAGACAGGGATGGTACGTTTGTCATTGCTACTTCACGAGTTGTGCTGTTGGAAATGGAAAACGATATGAGACAAGCAGAAACAAAGTTTCACACAAATTTAAGTTTATAGAGAACATTACTAATTAAGTTATAGAATATCCATTAAATTTCTTTACTATTTTACTCTTTATTTGAGTAGTTTAAAGTGTATAATATAATGTAAATAAAAAAAGTGTATAATGTAGCACATTGCATTCCTGTCGTCAGAAGCCAATTGACCATCGGTTTTTATTTGGAGAGTCCAGATTTAATGCTGGTTTATTTAAACTGTTTCGAATCTAGATTGTCTTATTTTGATTGAATGACAAATATCTCCTCAGTTTTAACTGAACGCAATATAGTAAAGCCATAACAACTACACTGCAATAATAGTGTCATTTTGTGAGTGCCAATACCTCTCACAAATCATCAAAAACCTTCGTAAAATATATATGTGGTCAAAATTTAGACATAAAATCTTTCCCATATTACTTTTCTTTTTTTTTTTGAGAAAAAATCTTTTCCATGTTACCTTTTTTTCAAAGTGTTCAATATAAGGAGGAATAACATTTAAAGACGTACGTCTAGGTCAAGAATTGATCATCCTAACAAGAGAATGGACGACCATATTTACTTGACGTCTAATGAGCTTTACCTTAAAGTTAGGATTGACATTTAACAAGGTTTTTATAGACTTTATAATAACATAAAACTCAGAATCTCCATCATAATTTGAGTGAATGGCTTGAACAACATTTTGGGAATCACATCCGAAAATCACATTTTTCAGATTGGATTCAATGACTTCGTGGATTGCTTCCTTTAGGGCCAAAGCTTTCGCTTCATTCACATACATAATTCCGGGACCCCAAGACAAACTTGCAGAAATGAAATTCCCAACATGATCACGCACACGCCAACCCCTATTAGAAGTTCCGGTTTGATTCTTGAATGTCGCATCCACATTACATTTCAACCACCCTACCCTAGGTGGGCTCCAAGAATAAGGAATCTGATGGTTAGTATTTGAAACCTGCACTTTTTGGGCTGAAAACCACTCCTGCCACTTGCGAAAGCTAGCCACCCAAGTTTTGGAGCTTCCTCAAATGCATTGTTCCCAATCCAGTTATTCCTATTTTTCCAGATCTCATCTAACATAACCGCAACTCTACCAACGTCATTCTTATCCTTCTTACTACAAATATCGAAAATAATTGTTTTAGCATCATGGAGAGAATATAATCGAGCATCTATAATAGAGGATAAATCTGGGTCCTCCAACATTGGATAATCTCACTACAACCAAAGAAAAGGTGTCATGTGTCCTCCCGATTACTCTCATAGAATTGACAAGAAGATGAACAAGGTATATGATACTGACAGAGTCTAGCACGAATCGGTAAGCAGTCTTTACAAATTCTCCACAAAAGGTGCTTAACCCTAGGTGGAGCTTTAATGTTCCAAAGACTATTCCAATCCTTGTTCACACTCTCATGTCTCCCCCGTAATCTTCTTCATAACCTGTACCCAGAACGCACATTGTAGGACCCATTTTGTTCTTCCTTCCATATCATCCTATCCTCCTTGACCTCCTCAATCAGGGGCACATGTAAGATTTCTTCGGCATCTGCATAATTAAACAATTCCCCAATAACTCGAAAATCTCATTGTTTCACATTAGGCAGCATAAGATCTCTAACAGTAATATCATACACACTTTGGTTCTAGGGACCACTTTCCCATGTTACTTAAACACATAAAGTTTGTGAGAATTTTAGCCCTCAATAATATTCAATTTCTTCTATTAATAGTAGGTCAGTGAAAATAAAAACGGTCGTATATGTGATCGTAACAGATATCTTCAAATTATATATATACATATATATATATATATATATATATATATATATATATATATATATATATATATATATATATATATATATATATATATATATATATATATATATATATATATATATATATATATATATATATATATATATATATAAAGAGCGGTCTGAGGCATTAATGGAAATAATAATGATATTAATGATAAACATAATAAAGATAAATATAATGGTGGAAATATTATTAAAGATAAAGATAATATTAGTAAAAATAATTATAAGAGTAAAACAACATGCGGAAAAGATGTTGAAAATATTAAAAGACATGCTTTTATTTATGAAAAATACTTAAAAAGGATGACAAATCAAGAATTTTAAGTTCTAAGACTGAAAACTCGAATGCCTTTCATAACACACAAATGATCTTTTTATAGGCAAGGATCCAGACGGACTTGAAACAAAAATAAACTAAGCATAAACTTTATAGAAGGTAATGACCCACATGGTCTGAATAATTGAAGTAAAACAAAAATAATTTAATAAAGTAGAGTCAATAATTCAAAAGCAATTCTGAGCGGAAGATAATGATAAGTGCTAAATTGTACTGATTTTGAGTGTTAATAATTTTGTGCACATGTTGTATAGTTTACATTATAGTGTATATATTGTGTATTGCGTAAATATTATTGATTTTAATTGTTTTTCTCTCATTTTTGTAGGTATATAAGCAATGATATTTTGTCATTGTCTTATAGAGCATTGAATAAGCTTTCCAACGCTTCCGACCGCGCGTAAAACGGAGTTACGGTTTAAAAGCTATGGTCAAAACAAGTGATGATTTGTTGTCATGCTCGCTAGGCAAACAGAAAGTTCTAAAAAGCGTGAAAAACACTATTTTGGCAGTAGCTAAGGTGACATAAGTTCGCTTGGAGAATGGGACTTCGCTAGGCGAACACGGAAACCCATTTTTGCCTATTTAAGTGATTTTTCAGCATTTTTTAGGTTATGTTGTTGGGAACTTTTTACCCCAACTTCATCAAAAACATTCTTGAGTAGATTTAGCTTAAAAGCAACATTAGAGTGTGCATCTTGACGATACGGAGTCAAATCTACTTTAATCAGAGTTGACAGATCGTGAGATTTGTGTTCTTCTTCTTTCTTCTCTTTGTACTCTCTATTTGTTGGGATTTTGTATGTATGTTTATCTTGATTATATGTATATTTATGGATCTTTGTATCAAATCTGTTTTACAACTATTTATCGATGGTTATCTTGATTTTTTACTTAATGGGTTTGGATTGCTATAGACATATATGGTTCGAACTCGATCTAAGATGAACATCTGTTAGATTCTAAACTCTACACATAGATTTAGGACTAATATTCACGTGGGTATCGATTCTTAATGCTTTGTATTGTCGAGTCACGTGAGACATCATTGATGAGACGATACGGTTGATCTCTCGACTTTACGTTAGACATAACCTCTGTTGTGAGCGATACATGATGATATTGACGAGCGATTTAGGTTGCGTGCATTTGATCCATATATTTTTTAGTACATGATTGGTGGAACGAAATACAACTCCTGACGAGTTTTCTTATTTCTTAAGAATGTATTTATTTTCTTGTTTTATGTTTTTCCTTTTGCATTTTTATCCTAAACCATTCAAACCCAAGCTTAGAGACGTGGAGATTGTCGAATGACATTATTTCCCTTGCACCAATCCCTATGGAGACGACAAAACTGGGTACTTAATACTTTTACTTGTTGCTTTACCACTTTAACAAAATGGTGTTGTTTCCGGGGATTGGTTTTGATATTGAATCGCATTGCGATAATTTCTATGTTTTTAAGCTTTGTATATACATGTTTATAGTTGTTATCCATAAGTGATTATATATATGTGTTTTCTATCATGTTTATGTGTTTGTGAATATTTTTGTTTTTGGTTTACGTTTGCTCAAGTGTTGTGCAGGCTTATTTGGTAGTAGCCGGTGAACCAAGCAACATAGAGGAGCATATGCATAAATAAAGGCGTCGAGCTTACGACGTGAAACAAGATCTTGTTGG